GGTCAGGTTCTGGAGGTCAGGTTCTGGAGGTCAGGTTCTGGAGGTCAGGTTCTGGAGGTCAGGTTCTGGAGGTCAGGTTCTGGAGGTCAGGTTCTGGAGGTCAGGTTCTGGAGGTCAGGTTCTGGAGGTCAGGTTCTGGAGGTCAGGTTCTGGAGGTCAGGTTCTGGAGGTCAGGTTCTGGAGGTCAGGTTCTGGAGGTCAGGTTCTGGAGGTAAGTTCTGGAGGTCAGGTTCTGGAGGTCAGGTTCTGGAGGTCAGGTTCTGGAGGTCAGGTTCTGGAGGTCAGGTTCTGGAGGTAAGTTCTGGAGGTAAGTTCTGGAGGTCAGGTTCTGGAGGTCAGGTTCTGGAGGTCAGGTTCTGGAGGTCAGGTTCTGGAGGTCAGGTTCTGGAGGTCAGGTTCTGGAGGTCAGGTTCTGGAGGTCAGGTTCTGGAGGTCAGGTTCTGGAGGTCAGGTTCTGGAGGTCAGGTTCTGGAGGTCAGGTTCTGGAGGTCAGGTTCTGGAGGTCAGGTTCTGGAGGTCAGGTTCTGGAGGTCAGGTTCTGGAGGTCAGGTTCTGGAGGTCCAGTTCTGGAGGTCAGGTTCTGGAGGTCAGGTTCTGGAGGTCAGGTTCTGGAGGTAAGTTCTGGAGGTCAGGTTCTGGAGGTCAGGTTCTGGAGGTCAGGTTCTGGAGGTCAGGTTCTGGAGGTCAGGTTCTGGAGGTCAGGTTCTGGAGGTCAGGTTCTGGAGGTCAGGTTCTGGAGGTCAGGTTCTGGAGGTCAGGTTCTAGAGGCCAGGTTCTGGAGGTCAGGTTCTGGAGGTCAGGTTCTGGAGGTCAGGTTCTGGAGGTCAGGTTCTGGAGGTCAGGTTCTGGAGGTCAGGTTCTGGAGGTCAGGTTCTGGAGGTCAGGTTCTGGAGGTCAGGTTCTGGAGGTCAGGTTCTGGAGGTCAGGTTCTGGAGGTAAGTTCTGGAGGTCAGGTTCTGGAGGTCAGGTTCTACAGGTCAGGTTCTGGAGGTCAGGTTCTGGAGGTCAGGTTCTGGAGGTCCAGTTCTGGAGGTCAGGTTCTGGAGGTCAGGTTCTGGAGGTCAGGTTCTGGAGGTCAGGTTCTGGAGGTCAGGTTCTGGAGGTCAGGTTCTGGAGGTCAGGTTCTGGAGGTCAGGTTCTGGAGGTCAGGTTCTGGAGGTCAGGTTCTGGAGGTCAGGTTCTGGAGGTCAGGTTATAGAGGTAAGTTCTGGAGGTCAGGTTCTGGAGGTCAGGTTCTGGAGGTCAGGTTCTGGAGGTCAGGTTCTGGAGGTCAGGTTCTGGAGGTCAGGTTCTGGAGGTAAGTTCTGGAGGTAAGTTCTGGAGGTCAGGTTCTGGAGGTCAGGTTCTGGAGGTCAGGTTCTGGAGGTCAGGTTCTGGAGGTAAGTTCTGGAGGTCAGGTTCTGGAGGTCAGGTTCTGGAGGTCAGGTTCTGGAGGTCAGGTTCTGGAGGTCAGGTTCTGGAGGTCAGGTTCTGGAGGTCAGGTTCTGGAGGTCAGGTTCTGGAGGTCAGGTTCTGGAGGTCAGGTTCTGGAGGTAAGTTCTGGAGGTCAGGTTCTGGAGGTCAGGTTCTGGAGGTCAGGTTCTGGAGGTCAGGTTCTGGAGGTAAGTTCTGGAGGTCAGGGTCTGGAGGTCGGGTTCTGGAGGTCAGGTTCTGGAGGTCAGGTTCTGGAGGTCAGGTTCTGGAGGTCAGGTTCTGGAGGTCAGGTTCTGGAGGTCAGGTTCGGGGAGGTAAGTTCTGGAGGTCCGGTTCTGGAGGTCAGGTTCTGGAGGTCAGGTTCTGGAGGTCAGGTTCTGGAGGTCAGGTTCTGGAGGTCAGGTTCTGGAGGTAAGTTCTGGAGGTAAGTTCTGGAGGTCAGTTCTGGAGGTCAGGGTCTGGAGGTCGGGTTTTGGAGGTCAGGTTCTGGAGGTCAGGTTCTGGAGGTCAGGTTCTGGAGGTCAGGTTCTGGAGGTCAGGTTCTGGAGGTCAGGTTCTGGAGGTCAGGTTCTGGAGGTCAGGTTCTGGAGGTCAGGTTCTGGAGGTCAGGTTCTGGAGGTAAGTTCTGGAGGTCAGGTTCTGGAGGTCAGGTTCTGGAGGTCAGGTTCTGGAGGTCAGGTTCTGGAGGTAAGTTCTGGAGGTCAGGTTCGGGAGGTCAGGTTCTGGAGGTCAGGTTCTGGAGGTCAGGTTCTGGAGGTCAGGTTCTGGAGGTAAGTTCTGGAGGTCAGGTTCTGGAGGTCAGGTTCTGGAGGTCAGGTTCTGGAGGTCAGGTTCTGGAGGTAAGTTCTGGAGGTCAGGTTCTGGAGGTCAGGTTCTGGAGGTCAGGTTCTGGAGGTCAGGTTCTGGAGGTCAGGTTCTGGAGGTCAGGTTCTGGAGGTCAGGTTCTGGAGGTCAGGTTCTGGAGGTCAGGTTCTGGAGGTAAGTTCTGGAGGTCAGGTTCTGGAGGTCAGGTTCTGGAGGTCAGGTTCTGGAGGTCAGGTTCTGGAGGTCAGGTTCTGGAGGTCAGGTTCTGGAGGTCAGGTTCTGGAGGTCCGGTTCAGGAGGTCCGGTTCTGGAGGTCAGGTTCTGGAGGTCAGGTTCTGGAGGTCAGGTTCTGGAGGTCAGGTTCTGGAGGTCAGGTTCTGGAGGTCAGGTTCTGGAGGTCAGGTTCTGGAGGTCAGGTTCTGGAGGTCAGGTTCTGGAGGTCAGGTTCTGGAGGTCAGGTTCTGGAGGTCAGGTTCTGGAGGTCAGGTTCTGGAGGTCAGGTTCTGGAGGTCAGGTTCTGGAGGTCAGGTTCTGGAGGTCAGGTTCTGGAGGTCAGGTTCTGGAGGTCAGGTTCTGGAGGTAAGTTCTGGAGGTAAGTTCTGGAGGTCAGGTTCTGGAGGTCAGGTTCTGGAGGTCAGGTTCTGGAGGTAAGTTCTGGAGGTCAGGTTCTGGAGGTCAGGTTCTGGAGGTCAGGTTCTGGAGGTCAGGTTCTGGAGGTAAGTTCTGGAGGTCAGGTTCTGGAGGTAAGTTCTGGAGGTCAGGTTCTGGAGGTCAGGTTCTGGAGGTCAGGTTCTGGAGGTCAGGTTCTGGAGGTCAGGTTCTGGAGGTCAGGTTCTGGAGGTCAGGTTCTGGAGGTCAGGTTCTGGAGGTCAGGTTCTGGAGGTAAGTTCTGGAGGTCAGGTTCTGGAGGTCAGGTTCTGGAGGTCAGGTTCTGGAGGTCAGGTTCTGGAGGTCAGGTTCTGGAGGTCAGGTTCTGGAGGTCAGGTTCTGGAGGTCAGGTTCTGGAGGTCAGGTTCTGGAGGTCAGGTTCTGGAGGTAAGTTCTGGAGGTCAGGGTCTGGAGGTCAGGTTCTGGAGGTCCGGTTAGGGAGGTCCGGTTCTGGAGGTCAGCTTCTGGAGGTCAGCTTTTGGAGGTCAGGTTCTGGAGGTCAGGTTCTGGAGGTCAGGTTCTGGAGGTCAGGTTCTGGAGGTCAGGTTCTGGAGGTCAGGTTCTGGAGGTCAGGTTCTGGAGGTCAGGTTCTGGAGGTCAGGTTCTGGAGGTCAGGTTCTGGAGGTCAGGTTCTGGAGGTCAGGTTCTGGAGGTCAGGTTCTGGAGGTCAGGTTCTGGAGGTAAGTTCTGGAGGTCAGGTTCTGGAGGTCAGGTTCTGGAGGTCAGGTTCTGGAGGTCAAATTCTGGAGGTCCGGTTCTGGAGGTCAGGTTCTGGAGGTCAGGTTCTGGAGGTCAGGTTCTGGAGGTCAGGTTCTGGAGGTCAGGTTCTGGAGGTCAGGTTCTGGAGGTCAGGTTCTGGAGGTCAGGTTCTGGAGGTCAGGTTCTGGAGGTCAGGTTCTGGAGGTCAGGTTCTGGAGGTCAGGTTCTGGAGGTCAGGTTCTGGAGGTAAGTTCTGGAGGTCAGGTTCTGGAGGTAAGTTCTGGAGGTAAGTTCTGGAGGTCAGGTTCTGGAGGTCAGGTTCTGGAGGTAAGTTCTGGAGGTCAGGTTCTGGAGGTCAGGTTCTGGAGGTCAGGTTCTGGAGGTCAGGTTCTGGAGGTCAGGTTCTGGAGGTCAGGTTCTGGAGGTCAGGTTCTGGAGGTCAGGTTCTGGAGGTCAGGTTCTGGAGGTAAGTTCTGGAGGTCAGGTTCTGGAGGTAAGTTCTGGAGGTAAGTTCTGGAGGTCAGGTTCTGGAGGTCAGGTTCTGGAGGTAAGTTCTGGAGGTCAGGTTCTGGAGGTCAGGTTCTGGAGGTCAGGTTCTGGAGGTCAGGTTCTGGAGGTCAGGTTCTGGAGGTCAGGTTCTGGAGGTCAGGTTCTGGAGGTCAGGTTCTGGAGGTCAGGTTCTGGAGGTCAGGTTCTGGAGGTCAGGTTCTGGAGGTAAGTTCTGGAGGTAAGTTCTGGAGGTCAGGTTCTGGAGGTAAGTTCTGGAGGTCAGGTTCTGGAGGTCAGGTTCTGGAGGTCAGGTTCTGGAGGTCAGGTTCTGGAGGTCAGGTTCTGGAGGTCAGGTTCTGGAGGTCAGGTTCTGGAGGTCAGGTTCTGGAGGGAAAACGCGCGCGCCGGGCCAAGGGAAACCGGGAAAACCGGGAAACCGGGAAACCGGGAAACCGGGAAGCCGGGAAACCGGGAAACCGGGAAACCGGGAAACCGGGAAACCAGGAAACCGGGAAACCGGGAAACCGGGAAGCCGGGAAACCGGGAAACCGGGAAACCGGGATACCAAGAAACCGGGAAACCGGGAAACCGGGATACCGGGAAACCGGGAATTCGGGAAACCGGGAAACCGGGAAACCGGGAAACCGGGATACCGGGATACCGGGAAACCGGGAAACCGAGAAACCGGGAAACCGGGAAACCGGGATACCGGGAAACCGGGAAACCGGGATACCGGGAAACCGGGAAACCGGGAAACCGGGAAGCCGGGAAACCGGGAAGCCGGGAAACCGGGAAACCGGGAAACCGGGAAACCGGGAAACCGGAAAACCGGGAAACCGGGAAACCGGGAAACCGGGAAGCCGGGAAACCGGGAAACCGGGAAACCGGGAAACCGGGAAACCGGGAAACCGGGCAACCGGGCAACCGGGATACCGGAAAACCTACCATCAGCATCTCACCTTGCCAGCCATGTGCCATCGCTCCCTGCCATCCTCCATGCGCCATGCCCCATAGTTGGGCATCACATCCATCACTGCAAACCCCAGCAGGTCCGGCACAGGGCCTCCTGTCACTCCCTGCTGCACCAGCGCTGCTGCCAGCTCTAGAGCTGCAAATGTGGAAAGGGAAGGCGCAGGAAAGGGTTGAGGAGATTTGAGCTGGTGAGCTGGTGAGCTGATGAGCTGATGAGCTGCTTTATTCACCCTCCTCTCACTCCCTGCTGCACCAGCGCTGCTGCCAGGGCTAGAGCTGCAAATGTGGAAAGGGAAGGGTTGAGGAGAGCTGGTGAGCTGATGAGCTGATGAGCTGGTGAGCTGGTGAGCTGGTGAGCTGGTGAGCTGATGAGCTGGTGAGCTGCTTTATTCACCCTCCTCTCACTCCCTGCTGCACCAGCGCAGCCGCCAGGTCCAGAGCTGCCAGATTCCATATGGCATGTGGAACGGAAGAAGGCTAATTGAGGGCAGCGATGCAGGCGAGGTGAGAGGTGAGGTGAGAGGTGAGGTGAGAGGTGAGGTGAGGTGAGGTGAGGTGAGGTGAGGTGAGGTGAGGTGAGGTGGGGTGAGGTGAGGTGAGGTGAGGTGAGGTGAGGTGAGGTGAGGTGAGGTGAGGTGAGGTGAGGTGAGGTGAGCGAGGTAAGATGTGAGCAATTGGGATGGGACGGAAGGGTGTTGTAGCTACAACGGAAGGGGAGAGGAAGGGGAGAGGAAGGGGAGAGGAAGGGGAGCTACCTGCGAGGGTGAAGGGGAAGCTTCCCAGTGGTTGCTCGATCTGGAAGCACAGCAGGTGCAGCGGACTCGTGGCAGGCCCTGATTGGCTGGGAGCAGAAGCGGATTGGATCGACCGGGAGCGGAGCGGGGAAGGAGGGAGAGAACGGAGAGGAATAAATGTGAGGAATGCCATTGGGAGAGAGAGAGATGTGGACAGGGAGGGGTGGTGAGGACAGGGAGGGATGTGCTTGGAGGAAAGGGGGAGATACGTAAAATCAGTGGTTTTGTTTAACGGCAGGTAGATAGGCGTTTGCACAGCTTCGATAGATACGCACAGTTGAAGGTCGGAGGAAAGGGCTGACGGGGAGAAGGTGGAGGAGGAGAGCGCAGCAGCAACCCGCTCAGGATGGCTGCAGGGAGGGAGGTGAGGGGAGGGGAGGGAGTGGGATATGAGAGGGGGAAGGGTAGGAAGGTGGGGGGGGGAAGAACGGAGGGAAGCAGAGAAGGAGGAAATAGCATGGGAGAGAGGTGCAGGTCAGAAGCATATTGGGAGTGAGGCGGTAGCATGAGTGGGATGAGAGAGAGGCGGATGCAACAAGTGTTGGAATTACAGGCGAGAGCAACAACGAGAGAAAGGCAGATAACAATGCGAGGAGTGAGGAGCGAGGGCAGGGAGGAGGGAGGGACGAGAGTCACAAGTATGCAAAGAGGTAGGGGGGAATGAGGGAGGGCACTGACAGGAGGGCGGGCACTGACATGAGGGAGGGCACTGACATGAGGGCGGGCACTGACATGAGGGCGGGCACTGACAGGAGGGCGGGCACTGACATGAGGGCGGGCACTGACATGAGGGCGGGCACTGACATGAGGGAGGGCACTGACATGAGGGAGGGCACTGACAGGAGGGCGGGCACTGACAGGAGGGCAAAGGCAACTTTTGAGTCGACTCAAAAGTCACGTCGACTCAAAAGTCACCTCTTTTGAGTCGACTGAAAAGGAGTGAGGGCACTGACAGGAGGGCAAATGCAGCGAGTATTCGCAGGCAGCAGGCAGCACAGGCCAGTGACACTGCAGCAGATGATGATTGAGAGACGGAGGAGGAGGAGGAGGAAGGGGAGGATGAGGAGGAGGAAAAAGGGGACGAGGGGGCGGAGAGAGAAGGGGAAGAGAGCAGCCCGTCCAGTATGGCTGTGATGAGCGCAGTGGGGTCCAGTCTGGGGGTTACAAGGGGGAGAGGCAGGGAGAGAGGTCGACAGAGAAAGTACACAAGCAGGCTGAAGAGGTTGAGAGGTTGTTAAGGTGCATCGAAACGAGAGCAGTGGAGGAGAGTAGGGCATTCAGTATGTCAGTGAGAGTAGTCAAGTCCAGAATGGGGGGTTATTGGGAGGAATGGGCAGGAAGGAAGGGGAGGGAGAGTTGATTGGCGTGGAGTGGGAAGAAAACAAAACAAAAGACAGAATGAAGAAACCCATATTGAATACACGGAGGTCTGGTGATAGCAGGAGAGTACGAGGAGACAGAAGAGCAAGCAGTCTCCATTTAATAAAAAAGAAAAAGTGAAAACGCAGGCAGAAAAACCTCAAGTGCGTGGGAGGGAGGAGCTGCATAAACATTTCATGCAGCAAAGACTTGCACAATTTGCCAGGCTCTGGTTACCACACGTACGTCATGCCACGTGGCAGCAGCCCATTGGCCAATGCAGCTGCAACGAGGGGCGAGGAGTGGAGATGCAGGAGCGCCCTCACACACGCCTGATGGGCAGGACATGGGGGGTGCGAGGAGGGGGGAGAGATCGGAAGCGCGGGTATGGTGGAGAGAGAGAGTTGAAAGATGGAAAGAGGGGAGAGAGAGGGTAGGGGGACTGCCCCCGACCCGAGGGAAAAGGGGCGAGGAGTGGAGATGCAGGAGCGCCTGCATGCGCCTTCATGCACGCACGGTTGATGCTGCTCAATTCTCAGAAGCATCCCACCACAAAAAGGCAAGGCATGTCAGCAGGCACACCTGATTGGCTGCCAGCAGGTGGGAGGGAGAGCAACGACAGCCCCACCGAGAGCTCCTCCCTCCTTGCTGCTTCCTCCTCCCCCCAACCCCTGTTATTGAAGCGAATCAAAATGTGAAGTGGTGGCCCAAAACATACCTGATTGGACGCCAGCAGGTTAGAGAGCAGGGACAGCCCCACTGACAGCTCCTCTGCTGCTTCCTCCTCTCCCTCTAGCCCTGCGGCACTGGCGCTGATGTTAGCCCCGCCAATGGCAGACTGCCACGTGGCAGCAGCAGAGGACGCGTCCTGGTCCTGCTGTGCGCGGTGCACGAGGCGCAAGAGCAGGATGAGCAGCGCGCTCAGGGGGGCCTGATGGGGGGAGAGGGGAGAACACGCAGTGGAGGGAAGCGGGGAAGGGGGGAAAGGGGATAGGCTGTGTTCTGTGGTCCTGCTGTGCGCGGTGGACGAGGCAGAAGAGCAGGTCGGTTAAGGGGACTTGGTGGGGGGAGAAAAATTGCAGGGGAAGGATATGTGGGGTTATGCTCCTTGGAAAAGTGGGGGGACAGCTCAGACGAACGTTCCTTCACAACGCCCTTCCTCTCTGCTCCACTTCCCTCCTTGCCTCTCTCCCTCTCAACCCACCACCTCTCCCTTCCTTGATTCCCCACCTCCCAAAACCCCCCAGCCGGTATCAGCAGCCCCCTCCCCCTGCAGCAGCAGCAGAGCGGCCCTTTCAACTTTCCCTCTCCCGTCACTCCCCAAATTCCTCACCTCGAAACGCACCAGTGCAGTTCCATCCCTCCCTCCTCCCCCTTCCACCACCTCCCACTGCGCCCCAGCTGGCATCAGCAGCCCCCCGCAGAAGGGAAACAGCAGGAGCTGGGGGCAGAGAGGGCGGAGACAAGGAACAGACCCTACCTTCCCCTCCATTCCTCACCTCAAAATGCACCAGTGAGAGTCCGTTCCCCCCTTCCGCCACCTCCCCCCGCGCCCCAGCCGGCACCAGCAGCCCCCCGCAGAATGGCAGCAGCAGGGGTTGGGGGGCGGAGAGGGCGGAGAGGGACACACAGGCGGGCGGCAGGGGGAGGAGGAGAGCTGCCCCCATAGTGCTCTCGAGAAATTCAAACCTGAAGTATTGGTGGGGGTGGGAGGGGGGGAGGGGGGAGGGGGGAGGGGGAAGGGGGAGGGGGAAGGGGAGAAGGGAGGAGAAAAGTTCCTGGAGGCACCTGAGAAGGTGTCAGCTGCCTCCCTCCAATCCAAGGCAGGTCGACCGTGGAATGGGAAGAGAAGAGAGAGAAGATAGCCAGGCCAGGGGCCGTGGGAGAAGGGAGGAGAACCAACTAGCGGAGAACCCGTGCAAAGAGGTCGGATAGCAACTCACGTGCAGCGGGCGGGCCAGGAGCCGTAGGAGAGGGTGGAGAGGAGGACAGGAAACAAGTGTGGTTCCCCTCCCTCTTATAGAATAAAGCACGGCAGATAGCAACAGCAACTCACGTGCAGCGGGCTGGCCAGGAGCCGTGGGAGAGGGCGGAGAGGAGGCGCAGGAAGGGGAGGGGTCGGGCGGGGAAGTCCCGCCTGGTGGCGGCTAGGAGCGAGCGCAGAGGAGCATCGGATGGAGAGGCAGAGGCGTCCCAGAAGTCAGTGCATAGCGACTCCTGATGGGGGTGAGACGGGGTGAGAAGGGGTGAGAAGTGGTGAGAAGTGATGAGAAGAATCTAAAGGTTATATGTGTAAGTGATGACAGCGTTGTCTCATCTCGTTGTTGTGGGTGCAATGGGGACAACAAGAGGGGCATCAGAGGGAGAGACAGAGGTGTCCCAAAGTGGGGCGGAATGGGTTGAAGACGGGGCGGGGGTTATGAAATGAAATACGTCTAAAAAGAGCTGAGAGGAATCTGGGTGAGAGGCAGAGAGGAGTGTGGTGCGGTGACACGGCAGTGCACAGCGGTGAGATGGTGTTGGAAGAGGTGGTCACATGCCACGTGGTGCATCTGGTGCCATGCGGTGCTGTGTGGTGCCACACGGTGACAAGGCACGGACCTGCTCTGAAAAGGTGCGACAGATGATCTCCAGAAGAAGGGCATATAGCCGAGTGCCCTTCTGAAATGGGGGTAAATGGCATTAACAAGATGAGAGAAGGTTTGGAAAAAGTGACATGAAGAGCCAATGGAAGCAGTACATACATGTCAATAAGTAAACATGGTTAAACATAAAAGTTCTGGGTGTAGCTGACCTGGTTGGAAATGTCAAAGGCAGTGAGGTAGGCTGTGGAAAGCCCCTTGACGCACCTCTTCACCACCCCCTGCATCACCTGCTCTCGCACACACCACACCAGCACACAGGGGCAGCATGGAGGAGGACAACTTTTGACTTTTGACTTATGAGACGTCTCAAAACTTGCGACTTTTGAATTTTGAGACGTCTCAAAACTTTTGACTTTTGACTTTTGAGAAGTCTCAAAATTCACCACACCAGCACACATGGGAAGCATGGAGGAGGAGCAAAGGGGGAGGGAGGGACGGGGGCAGGACTGTTTTGAGTCGACTCAAAACACACCTGGATACAATGTCACACGATGTGTTTACAGGGAGGTGTTCTTTGGGTCTCGCACACACCACACCAGCACACATGGGCAGCATGGAGGAGGAGCAAAGGGGGAGGGAGGGAGGGACGGAGGCAGGACTGTTTTGAGTCGACTCAAAACACACCTGGATACAATGTCACGCGATGTGTTTACAGGGAGGTGTTCTTTGGGTCTCGCACACACCACAGCAGCACACATGGGCAGCATGGAGGAGGAGCAAAGGGGGAGGGAGGGAGGGATGGAGGCGGGACTGTTTTGAGTCGACTCAAAACACACCTGGATACAATGTCACGCGATGTGTTTACAGGGAGGTGTTCTTTGGGTCTCGCACACACCACACCAGCACACATGGGCAGCATGGAGGAGGAGCAAAGGGGGAGGGAGGGAGGGACGGAGGCAGGACTGCTGACACGTCTCAAAAACAGAGATGTGGGCCGAGAATGTAAGGAACTCTTAAAGAGTTAAAGTATTGAGGAGCTGATTTTAGATGGAGTTCATTGTTGAGAAGTTGACTGAAGGCGTTGAATGTTGGAGAGTGACTGTGCAGAAGGTGACTATAAGCAAGGTAGTCTTCACAGAAAGAGGTACTTGAAAAGGCAGACGTCACTCACAGGGTCGTTGGAAGGGTGGGAGGGGAGGGAGGAGGAGAGCAGAGAGGAGAGAATCCAATCCAACGCTCCTGCTGCATAGGCTGCTTGCACACACACACTCGGGTTCAACACAGGGGCCTGCATGCATAGGTGTGGAGAAGGGACGAGAGGAAAAACAAAAAGGGGCAAATCGGAGGCACTGTGGCATTCGTTTCTATCTATCACTCTGACGAACATCCATTCCAGTGACAACAGGGAGAGGTGGGAACCTAATGCAGGCAGCACATAAGGCAGCACATAAGGCAGCACATGAGGGGAGGGGCCCCTTATGCAAGCAGCACCTGGAACACACGGGTTCTTGTTGTGACGATACATGGAACACACGGGCTTGTGACGATAGCTCCCTCCCATGTGGCACCGTACCGGCAGCACCGTACCGGCTCTCTCCCATGTGACAGGAATCTGGCAGCCACTGCAGCAGCATGCGCACGAGACTCCATGCGAGCAGCGCAGGAGACACATCCGACCCAGCACCAGCAAAGGCACTACCAGCAGCAGCAGTCAGCTAATAACCCCCTACCTCCCACCCGTGCCTTGTGTTATCGTACCGGCAGGTGAGAAGCGTCTGGCAGCCACTGCAGCAGCATGCGGACGAGACCCCATGCGAGCAGCACAGGAGACACATCCGACCCAGCACTACCAGTCCCCACCAGTGGCAACACTGCGTTCAGCCCAGTCAGCCCCCCCTCCCCTCCTCCAAACCCCTCCTCCATCCCCTCGTCTGCCACCCCCACTCCACTGCCGAACTCCTCGCGGTCACCTCTACCACCCGCCCCTCCCTTGGCAGCAGCGGCAGCGGCAGAGAGGAGGCAGGAGAGCCACGCAGAGAGGCGCTGATCCACTTGCGAGAGGTCGGAGGGGGATGAGAGGGGGTGTTGTGAGGTGCTGTTGGCGAAGGAAGAAGCAGGGAGGAAGGGAACATGTGTGCGGGAGCAGAGAGGAAGGGAACACGTGAGCAAACACATACGAGCCAGCCTCCTCTCCCTTGACAGCAGCAGCAGTAGCAGCAGCAGCAGCAGCAGCAGCAGCAGCAGCAGCAGCAGCAGCAGCAGCAGCAGCAGCAGCAGCAGCAGCAGCAGCAGCAGCAGCAGCAGCAGCAGCAGCAGCAGCAGCAGCAGCAGCAGCAGCAGCAGCAGCAGCAGCAGCAGCAGCAGCAGCAGCAGCAGCAGCAGCAGCAGCAGCATCAGCAGCAGCAGCAGCAGCAGCAGCAGCAGCAGCAGCAGCAGCAGCAGCAGCAGCAGCAGCAGCAGCAGCAGCAGCAGCAGCAGCAGCAGCAGCAGCAGCAGCAGCAGCAGCAGCAGCAGCGGCAGAGAGGAGGCAGGAGAGCCACGCAGAGAGACGCTGATCCACTTGCAACAGTGAAGATAGGGCGGGCACATGAGAAGAAACACAAGAGTTATGTTCCCCTGCTTTGGCGACAGCAGCAGCAGCAGCGGCAGAGAGAATGCACGAGAGTGAGAACGCACCTGAACTGCATCCCTTGCGCCAGGGCCACAACCACCCCTTCCACGTCCACAGCTGCGATCAGCAGGAGCACGGCACGGTGCAGCGCGGTGGAGAGGAGTGACTCGGCCGCAGCACTGATAGCCAGAGAGGCGAGAGAGACGGAGGGGGAGGAGGACGAGGAGGAGGAGGAGGGAGGCGTGGGGTATGGAGACGAGGAGGGGGCCAGTGGTGATGGAGTGAAGCCGAAGAAAAGCTCCTGGTAAGAAGGGATCAGAAACGGTCAGAAGGGGTCAGGAGGGGTCAGGTGGGAGGTGTGGAGGAGAAGGAAACGGAATTTGACTTGGTAGGATGCTCTGGAATTCTTTAGGATTGGGGTCTGCGTAGTTAACAGGAGGATAGGATGAGAAAGGAGGAAAGGAAAGAAAGGAGGTAGGAAAAGGGAAGACACGCATTAGTCAGCTGAGAAGATGGGAAGATGAGAAGATGAGAAGAAGGGGAGCAAAGTGAAAGAGGGTGTGCTGAACGAATTAGAATGGATCGTGACGCTGAGATAGCCAAGAAAGAACATGAAAGGGGAACCTGAACGAGTGTGACTATATCGAGGATGGCAGCAGCGCGGCAGCCATTGCAGGAGGTGACGAGGATGAGGATGTCTAGTAACAAGCAGGCTTCTAACGAGGATGCTTCTGCCCATCCTGCCATCCCTGCACGATCCTGAAGAAAGAAAAGAACACGATGAGAAGGCAAAAGGAACACGATGAGAAGGCAAAAGGAACACGATGAGAAGGCAAAAGGATAAGAATTCAAGATGCTATGCTGAAAGGAAATCGGAGCTTCAACATTTTGGTAGGCCTTGCAACCAACAAACATTGTTTGTGGTCCTGGATATGAATAGCAATGTCTTTTATGAGAGTTCACACATTTCAAGATTCGGGATTTGACCTGTGAGTACCTCATCGCATGTGATGCGATATGATAAAATGCAGCATGTCAACATGTCAACATGTCAGCATGTCAGCATGGCAGAATGTCAGCAGCACGTACCAGAGCCTTGGGGGGTTGGGATCGTGGGAGCGACCTGAGCTGAGCCATAACATTCGACAGCAACCCCTCCTTCAGCAGCGCGCTCACCTCCCCCTCAATTGCAGATGCACAAGGGGAGGAGGAGGCGACAGCTGCAATCAGGGAAAGCGGAGGCAGGGAGAAGCAGTTGGGGTGGGGATGAGTTCGACAGCAGCCCCTCCTTCAGCAGCGCGCTCACCTCCCCCTCAATTGCAGCCGCACAAGGGGAGGAGGAGGTGTCAGCTGCAGTGAGGGGAAGCGGCGGCAGGGAGCAGTATAAGTTTGACAGCATCAGTGGAGAGCATCAGTGAGTTAGCAACAAACACTATGCTATCATCATGGTGGTATCACACAGCAGGGAGAGAAAGTATTTTTGAGTCGACTCAAAAAAAGACTCACTACATCAGTGAGTTAGCAACAGAACCTATGCTATCATCATGGTGGTATGGTATCACGCAGCAGGAAAATGCTGCAAAAGCCGCGCACCTTGCATGGCCAGCAGAAGCCGCAGGCACTTGAGCAGGCTCTGCCTCTCCTCCTGATACAACGCCACAATCTGCACGCATTCGGTTCAGAGCAAGCATGTGAACGGAGGAAGGGAGATACTGTTTTGAGACGCCTCAAAAACACTTGAGCAGGCTCTGCCTCTCCTCCTGATACAACGCCACAATCTGCACGCATTCGGTTCAGAGCAAGTATGTGAACGGAGGAAGGGAGAAACTGTTTTGAGACGCCTCAAAAACACTTGAGCAGGCTCTGCCTCTCCTCCTGATACAACGCCACAACCTGCATGCGCACAGTGCATGTGGAGGGAAGTGGGGAGGCTGATATAGAAAGGAAATTCGTGTCACAAAGCATGGGGTGCACAAAGGGATTGCCTCGTTTGCAATGTGGTCCGATACACCACACATCAGTCCATCACACAAGCGCGCGCGCGCACACACACACACACACACACACACACATACCTCCTGCACCAATCTCCGCTGCTCTTCCTTCTCCTCCAACCCCCCTTTTTTCTCTCCTCCTGCTCCCTTCCCCGCGCCCTCCCCCTCCGCCTCCCCCACCAGCGCCCTCTCCCCTCCCCCCACCCTATCCGCCAAAAAGTACGCCTGTGTTTCATCCAACCCCTGCACACGCACACACACACACGCAGTAAACCACCATGCTTGCATTGAACCCAGAAGAACAGTGGGATGCTCGCTTCTGCGTTCGCAAATGCAGCGCTTCCAGACCTCCCCAGAGGGATGGTCGCCTGCAGGCTCCGCAGCTTTGCACAGCCACCCCACTGCAGGGATTGCTATCCTACTGCCATGCAACCCTCTATTTTACCCCCCATGGCCTGGTTCCTCCCATACCCAGTTACAATCACAGCACTTACAATCACAGCACTTACAATCACAGCACTTACAATCACAGCACTTACAATCACAGCACTTGCAATCACAGCAGCTTCTCTTAGGCTCCCCACACGGAAATCGGATGGTCACTGCTACGATGTAACCCACTATCCACCCTTTTCCTTCCCATTCCCACTTACAAGCACAGCGCTTGCAGTCACAGCCGCTTCCCTTAGCCGTCCAACCACTGGGATTGTCACTTGCGAGGTGCCAGCTGCTCCCCCCACCCCCACTTCCAGACGAGCCGCGCCAATGGCATCGCGGGATCGGCTGCTGGGAGGCTTGAAGCGCGCCAAGCCGTGCAGCAGCCACGTGTGATGCTCTGATAGGCTCTTGGCCTGCACGAGACGGATCAGGGGGAAGGGAGGGATGCAGTACAGGTGTTACAAGATTTAGTTGTATGAACCTGCGACGAACCCCGCTTGTTACAGACGATGTTACACCCTCTCGTAACACTTTGATCATTCTCCTGACACGTACCAGCTCGCGACCTTCTTCTTCCTCGACATTGTCACTTCCTCTACTGTCAATCGCCTCGAGTCGCGCCAGCAAGGCACCGTGTGGAGACCACCGGAGATCCGCGTCGACTTTCGACGACGACGCTCTGTTGATCGCCGCTGCCACGCTGGCCATGACACGTGTCGAGCTACGACCAGGCGATGTGACGCGATCGCGAGGTGCGCGAACGGACTAACGAGTCGGACTATCCAGTCTCGCAATACCTTTCCCTAGGTAAAGTAGCGCTCTAACCCGACTGGTGGTGCGAATCGAGCTAGGTCGGAGGGGAAACCACGCGAGAAGTTCCTGTGAGGAGAAATAAGTGGCAAAATTCACTCTGGAATCAGCGAGGTCGAGCGTTCCGATGACCCTGCTAGCAGGATCAACGGCTTCGCAGAAAGCGCGACGGCAAGTTAGTTTCCCTCATTCGCGTCAGTAATTCCTGCTGAGCTCGAACGAGAATCACAGAAAGCCAGGATCGCTGATAACTAAGGGTGGGTAATAGGGGGTCATTTACTTTTAGCTTAAAACCCTACCCAACCATTTTAGATTCAAAAAAGCCGTTTTTTTTACATATTTATCGCATTCAACCGCGACTTTGTGATGCGTTCCAAGAGGTCGAGTGTGGAAGGAGCAGCTCTAGTCCCAACCCAATGCTCGCTGCTTGAAATCGAAGATCCCGCTAGTGTCAGCTGTCAGAGACTTCAAGTACAGCGAAGTACAGCGCACCATTATTCACTAATATATGCTAAGAAACGTGATCGGATATGCCTTGCGACGCTTGACAACATTATAGTCATACTTGACATATGTTCCCATATTCAAACTATCCCCACCTCAACATTCTGCTCTGGAACCGATTCTCACCACGCGTCAAATTCTCGCAAGCTGTCCCCTCCCATGCGCCCAGAACTATTGCCCCAACCTCTCCAGTTTCCTCACCCCGCTTCCCCATGCTCTTCCCCCAACCTCCTGTACTCCCGGCCGGTGGCGATCGGGGAGGTGCTTCCGCGTATCCTCGCTCGAGCTCTCTGCATCTCGCTTCGCCCTGTGATGGCTTCTTATTTTCTGCCGTGTAACCAGCTGGGAGTGGGCACCAGGGCCGGGGTGGAGATTCTTACTCATTCTTTCCGGTCAGCGCTGGCCACTCACCCCGACTGGTGTGCGCTGCAGATAGATGTCGCGAACGCCTTCAATTCGTTTCATCGCCACGCGATGTTCGAGGGGCTGAAGGAGTCGCCTTTCTCAGGAATGATCCCATTCTTGCGTGTCTTCTATGGGACACCTAGCGACCTGTACCTCCGAGCGGGCCCTTTCGTACAGAGTCTTGAGTCGGCACGAGGATCGCGACAGGGGGACCCGCTCGGCCCTTTTCTTTTCGCTTTCACGCAGCAGCAGGTGCTGGGGACGGTGACTAGAGAGTTCAGGGACCTACTTTTCTTGAGCTATGCAGACGATACCTACATCCTGGGACCAGCGGCTAGGATTCTGGAGGCTTTTGGGGTGCTGCGAGAGAGGTTGGAGTGGGTGGGGCTGGAAGTGCAGGCGCACAAGTGCAGGTTTTGGGAGCGTGGAGGTGGGGATATGGAGCGGGCATTGCCTTTGGGGATGCAGCGGGAGGAGGAGGGTCTTACTGTGGTGGGCGTGCCTATTGGGGAGGAGGATTGGGAGGGGGCCCGATTACGGAAGCGGCTTCGCGAGTTGCAGGCGCCATTGCCGTGGCTCCCCCTGCTCGACCACCCCCAGATGGCCTCGCATCTCCTCGCTATTGCAGTTTCAGCACGGCCGATGTACCTGGCCCGGACTATGCCGCCGCGGCCGGAGGTGGTGGAGGCCTTTAGAGAGTGGGACAGCTGTCTGGAGGATTGCTTTGAGCAGCTTTTCCCCCCTGGCACTTGGGAGCAGGATCCCGGCAGGTCTAGGCGCGCACGCATGCAGCTGCATCTCCCTGTGCGCCTCGGAGGGTTTGGGATCCGGGCGGCGGCCTCTTTGAGTCCGCTCTCCTATGTTTGTGGGTGGGCGCAGGCCGCACGGGATATTGCACATTTGGGGGTGGCGGGCGAGGAGGCGATGTTCGCAGAGTACCTCACCACTTCGGCGGGGGCGGAGCTTCTTGACCCGTGGTTTGCCAAGGCCATTGAGCAGTTGCCCGCGACTATACGCCAGGAGCTGCCGGACTTACCCCTGTGTGTGGCGGCCCCTCCTCTTCGGCTTTTCCAGGCGCGGCAGCGGCAGTTGGCTGTTGAGGAGCTCCAGGCACTCCGCCGCTTGGCTCGTGACGATGCCACCCTAGCCCGTTTCACATCCCTTCAGGGCCCGGGGGCTGGTGCATGGGTTTCGGCAGTTCCGGCTCATTCAGATCTCACATTCACTGCAGCGGAGTGGGGCATTGCTGCTGCTATACGGCTTGGTCTCCCAATCCAGCAGCTGCAAGTGGCGGGGAAGTGTGTTTGTGGCGCAGCGTATGATGACCCAGCAGACCCGCATCATGCGCTGAGATGCAAGCACCAACACGGTCCATCTCGGGTGCATGATGAGGTGAAGTTTGCGGTGGCAAAGATCGCTAAGGCGTCAGGGGGGGTGGTGACGATGGAGGATAGTGCGGTGCTGCCGGGGAAGCGGGTTGACGTAGCGGTGCGACGACCAATGGCTGGGGAGGCTCATGCTTTAGAGATTAGTGTCGCGGACCCGCTATCACTGTCTCCATCTCTGCTAGGGCAGTGCGGGCGGTCTATAGGCGTGGCGGCAAAGGAGTGGGAGCGTCGCAAAACGGGGGATTACGCGCCTCTTCTTGCACGGAACCGAGGCGTGCAGTTCACCCCTTTGATAGTGGAGACGTGGGGGTGTCTCGGCGGTCGCTTCCGGCGGTGGCTTCGACAGCAGGGGGACGCGCACGTGGGGCTAGCTGTGTCACGGGGGGCTTGTCGGGAGGATGACACTTCGTTCTCGGCTTACCTTTTGGGGTCTCTGAAGGCGCTCATCGGAGTGGCGTTACAACGGGCGCAAGCTCGTGTCATCCTGCTTCGGGCGGCGTCTTCCATGGGGGGGTTGAATGTGGACTTGGTGGATCGGGAGAGGGACGATGTCGAGGTGGAGGGCGGGCCTCTTTGGGTGGAGGCCCCCTACATGGTGGATGTGCAGATGTGACTTGGGGGGGGGGGGGGGGGGGGGGGGGGGCGAGGGGGAATGGGGTGCGAGATGGGACGTCTGGTAGGGGATCCTGGTTGGGTTTTTTCTTTATAGAGTATTTTTATGGGGCTTTTTATGGGTGTTGCGTTTGAGTTGTTTCTGGTGTCTTTCTTTCCCGTTCCTCTCCTCTTGTGCGATGCTTTTCTTTGTAAAGATAATACTACTGATAGTTAAACCTGTACTAAGGGTGGGTAATAGGGGGTCATTTACTTTTAGCTTAAAACCCTACCCAACCATTTTAGATTCAAAAAGGCCGTTTTTTTTACATATTTATCGCATTCAACCGCGACTTTGTGATGCGTTCCAAGAGGTCGAGTGTGGAAGGAGCAGCTCTAGTCCCAACCCAATGCTCGCTGCTTGAAATCGAAGATCCCGCTAGTGTCAGCTGTCAGAGACTTCAAGTACAGCGAAGTACAGCGCACCATTATTCACTAATATATGCTAAGAAACGTGATCGGATATGCCTTGCGACGCTTGACAACATTATAGTCATACTTGACATATGTTCCCATATTCAAACTATCCCCACCTCAACATTCTGCTCTGGAACCGATTCTCACCACGCGTCAAATTCTCGCAAGCTGTCCCCTCCCATGCGCCCAGAACTATTGCCCCAACCTCTCCAGTTTCCTCACCCCGCTTCCCCATGCTCTTCCCCCAACCTCCTGTACTCCCCATCGTCTTCCCCCTTCCTGGTAATATTTTCCGCTACCTTTCCTCACCCCTTCTCTCCCCCGCATCCTTGCCACATTTCTCCCTCCAGTTTCCCCGTGCGCTTCCCGCGCACTCCCGCCATCCCCTCCCCTTCAAATCCCCTCTCGCTTTTCCTCTTACCTCTTTCTCCCTCGCCTCTTCTCACTACGCCCTAGAACCTTACCTCACCCACGCGGGTGTAGGAGCCTCTTGACACGTCAGCGGCAGCCATCGTCGACGTAGCACGCACGAAACCCTAGCACCATGGGCGAGCGCTTCACATACCGCCGCAGGCACCCTTATGCCACGCGCTCGAACCTCCGCCGCACCATCCGCACCCCAGGCACGATCCTTATCTCCCTTTCGGAAACCCTAATAATTGCTTCCCGTTCATTCAGGCTGTAGATCGTTCCCCCGGCGCCACTCTTGCAGCGGAGGATCGCTTTCGTTTATTCGTCACGGATCTCGTTAACCACATCGTCTGACTCGTTATAATGTCACGCTGTGTGCAAGAAACGCTATCCTCGGTTCCCAGGCTGACTTCGCTTCCGCGCCCGATTTTCTATTGCTCCTTTACGTTTCGTTCAGGAAGTAGATCGGTTGTCGCGAAGCCCTGCACATTCCATATCCCCCGCTTATCCCCTGCCCAGTGATTTGTGAGGCGCCTCAAATTCCGCCCCTTCAATTTTCCCACTTATTCCCTGCTGAACCCGTGTGTTCCGCCCATGTTTCTTCCGCTCACCATCTGCCAATGTTCGCCCCGCCCTGTTGCTGCGTGTTGGCCCCGAGCAGGAGGCAAGCTCACAGTCCAGTACATCGCCAAGAGAGCCAATGGCGTCAAGTGCGGCAAGTGCCCGCGCATCCTTCCTGGTGTAAGTCCCGCTACCATTACAGCCTCGCCACTTTCTTCTTGTTTTTATTTATTCCGAACCGACACTGTAGTTCCGCTCATGGTAGAGCTCTGTTGTGATCCCGTTAATCCCCGTGAGCTGGCGTGAGAGGTATGGGCTGGGGGAGGCCGGCGCAAGTTGCAGGCGGTTGTTGCGCGCATTCCTTAGAGTTCCATCTCCCTTCCCGCGCCTTTTCGCGCGCCAACCCGTTCGCTTCTCCCCATGCGCGCAGGTCCCCGCGCTCCCCGCGCACAAGCTCACGCGCAACCTGATGTCGCGCAAGAAGAAGAGCGTCACGCGCATCTACGGCGGCGCCATCTGCGGGAAATGCGTGCGCGAGAGGTGAGGCGCGGGGAGCAAAGGGGGAATGGGGGGGAAAGGGGGAGGAAAAGTAGGGAAAGGGAGGAGGTCGCACGCGGTAAGGCGGAAGAGGATAGGCGCGGCGTGCGCGGGATGCGGAAAATGATGCGGGCGAAAGAGGCGCCAGATTGCTAGCGGAAGGCGGTATGCAAAAGGACGCAGAAGGAGAAGGAGAGCGAGAAGGCGGCGAAGGGATAGGAATGATCAGAAAGGGGGAATCGGAAGGATGGCGGAAGCAAGGCAGAATGAAGGGGAGAGGAAGGGGGTAGGTGTAGACGGGGGGTTGGGGGGAGGAGGGACGGGGGGACGAAGAGATGCTTGTACGCGGGAGCTGATGCAAGGGGAAAAGCAAGTGCACCGACTAGCATTTGTTTGCCTCAATTTCTCATCACCCTTTTCCTGTCGACGTCCT